AAAATCTACGCATACCAATTCGATAAAAATTATGACGTTTGACTATGTTGCAGTTTTTTTACCTCACCCTGTACAATTACATCCAACACATTTGCACATGGAAATATACGTTCGCCACTGATATCGAGTTTGAAGAAGGAACCTGTTGGTCCACTCCTTCTGGGACCTTCTTCACAAAGTGTGAATATTTTGAAAATTTTTAAATCTAATATCAAGATAATGGAATGTCTGATTTGATCTGAACTTTGACAATTATTAACTGCTAAAGTGGAGTCTAGACGGTAACCTCTTCCGGTAACTCTCCAAAGATTTTTAATAATCCCAAAAACAGATGTTTTAGGCTCCGACTTATGCAATATTGTTCTACTTCGGTAAACTCCGACTTTCCTAAATCAGCTTTAGAGTGCCTGATATTTTATATGGGGACCTTTCCTAAGCTCTTATAAGTTTGAATATTTGTGCTAACAAATCTCTTGTTTCCATATAAATAAATATAGTCCAATTTTTGGTATTTTTAAAGGCCTAGCAGCACAGGCTGTAATTTAACCCTCCAGATTTACGGAGGGTAAAAAACATCTCTGCAGAAAAAATTCAACATAGGTCTATGTTTCACATGGTCCCATATAAAGTTCCAACCCTATTTTTGGTATTTTGAAGATCGAAGTGGCCCTTTCTTGTTTCAAGCCACAAATCTATTTTTGTATTCCGTATAACAATAACAATTTTTCTGATAGGGTGAAATCCGGAAACACACCTTCCAATTTTGACTCAATATTTTTTTGGGGAGAAATTATTTTAATTTTAAAATAAAAAGTGGCAAATTAAGTGAGAGCAATAAAAAGTGTATGTCCGAAATTCATTACCCCACCCAAATTCTTTTATTGGGAGGCAATTGAAAGTGAAATTAAAAAAATTGAGTAAAGTTCGATTTTTTGTTAATATTTTATTTAAATATTTTTGAATTATGGAATTTAACCTAAATTCCTTAAATATTCTTTGGTGTGTGTGTGTGTGTGGGAAACACACATTCCATTGTATGACCAAATTTGTTGTTGTTGTTGTGGATCGATTGACAGTTAATCATAAAATTATGACTAATTACTTTCACCCTTTTTGCTGTGGTCAATTAAAAGAGCTGGCGGCGCAGGCGCTGTGCGGAATGAATACAAATGAGTTGAGATTTTTTTTTTTTTTGAAAAATATTTTTTTTATTTTTTTCTTTTCTTTGCATTTTCTTCATTTGTTTAAAAATAAATTAAATAAATATTAAATTAAATTATTGATTCTTTGGAATGACATTTGTTGTTGTTTGTTCGATATGAGCGGAAATAGTTTAGCTGGAGGTGAAATCGAAAGAGGGAAAGTTATAGAGGGGGGAAAGTACAGACATTGTGGACAGAAATGAAAAGGGAAGAAGGGAGTTCCAATTAACTTTGGAACTCTTTTTGTTGTTGTTTGCATAAAAATAAATTATAAATAATAATAATTTAATTAAACTACTTAACTACATAAGCTTTTGTACACCACTGTAAGGGCAAACGATGCGTTTTGCCCCCCACTTTTTTCCGTTGGGAGTACAAAATAAAAACTTAGCAGCTTCCATTGAGCAGGGTGGTTGCGGGGTGGTGATCCATTTTTATCAAAAGTTGGGATTGTCTTTAGTAGGCATTGTAGGCCAAGTATTGGGCATCAGCGTTGCTGCTGCGATCGTAGGCGGTGGAGGCGGCAGACATGGGCATCATGGTCATCTTGGCACCGGACAATTTGGTGAACAAGTTGTAGATGACGAAACCCAAAACCAATTTGATGGCCAATTTGGACAAGATCAAAGCCTTGATGGCCTTCAATTTGATCAAAGTCATGAGGATGGGCATGATGATGGCCTTGATGGTGACCAACAACAACAAGCTGGTGTTCAACTTGTTCTTCTTCTTGTGGCTGCGGGCTGTAAAGAGAAACATAACAAATTAAAATGTTGTCAAACCCAAATCCCTCACTCTTCAACACCCACCATCAGTTTCGGTAGTTTCCAAATCGAAACCACGATCAGCACGATAAGTGATAACGGAACCATCGAACAAGGTCTGGGGCAATTGTACACGAATTTCATTGGTGGTCAAGATGCGAGCAACACGATCGGTAATTGCCTTATCCATGACATCATCGCTCAAGGCACGGCCGCTAACCTCCTCCTCAACACCCGAAACATTATCCAAATAGGTCAACACCTTCTCCTTCAAACAGTGCATGCCATTTTCGTTGAAGCAGTTGTCCACAATGTTGGTGATCAAATCCTCCGAGGATGCAATGCGTGGTTCGGCAACGCTGTTATCAATGGCGGCAGCATTGACAGCGACCAAGAAAAGACAGCCGATGACCAAGAATTGAGTGAAACGGAAAGCCATTTTTTGAAGGAAGTAGGTTTTTATAATTTGAAATTTATAAATCCGTTTAAACTGCCGCGGATGTGCTGCTGTTGTTGATGATCGAATGAATTCGAAACAAATGATATCGTTTGCCAACAATCGTCGACATTTTATACTACTCAAGTCAACGGTGCAAGTGCGACCCAAAAGAAAGTAAAACTTTACGGCAAAAGGCACAGTGGCCGAATATGTCGTTGTTACCAAATTTGGTTGGGCGTTGTGTTGAGGTGGTCGGATGGTGGATTGGTTGGTCGGTTTGGCTGTTATATATTGAGGGCACGTGAATTTTGGGTATGGGGATTTAGTAGTTGGTTGGGGTTGGTGTTGAAATATTATAATATGTTGGAGATTTGCAATAGCTACAGAAATATATAGAGATATCTTATATAGAGATCATCTTATAGTTCGGCGCCTGTAATAATTTTTCACTCCCTAGTTAAGTTTAAAGATTCTATATATTAAAGTATGACCTTGTTCTGTTCGCTACATAGATTTATTATGGGTCATATCTTAGAATTTTTAGCAGATATTGGGCATTTATTATTTTTCTATAGTATGAATTGAAGTAGAAAAAATAATTTTAGATTACTGTTTTTTTTATCTGGAATAAAGACCTATTTTTTCAAAATTATAAGACCTTGCATTTCTGTGGAAAAAATAGTTCTCTGATTGAGCAAGTTTTTATACAGGGATGAATTCTTAGCTCCAGACCCTTAGGTACATATAATGAAGTATGCAGTATATTTTTATAATTTTAAGAAAACCTCCACAAATTGCGAGATTGTATTTAGTCATTTGAATTCGGCCGGATCATTATCCCTACCAGGACCATTATATTAATATATAGCTTAGTGATAAATGAGTGACTGACAGATCATTACGGCTGAAGCTAGAAACTTACAATTTTGCTGTTGGTGTGTAGGCATGAGATATGACCTGGTTTTTGGATATTAGAACTAGAAGGGTACGTAAAGTATTAAAATGTACTAAATTTTTCTTTTAGGCATAGATTACAAAAGGGTTCCAATCGTTTACATATATATATATATATATATATATATTGAACATATATAGCTAGAATCTTGAAATTTTATATGGAATACAGACTGGGAAGTGGTGTTGATGTATGGAAATTGTTTTAGAAATTCATACTTATGTGTTTGAATAGTAGTAAATGGTACTAAATTTGGTATTATTTGCATTTAGTTGAGCGTATAGAGATTGAATCCTGAAAATAGCAATTAGGATTACTATTGGAGTACAGGATTGAGGTAGCTTTAAAAAAATCATATTATATGTACGAAAAGTACAAAATGGTACTGAATTTGGTACATGTTGAATTTAGGTGAACAGATAGATCTAAAGTCTTGAAAGTTGGAGTGTAATTTAGGAAATTCGTACTTATGGGTACGAAAAGTAGTACTAAATTTAGTACAATTTGTACTTTGGGCAACAGTAATAAAATTAATGAAATTCATTTAAAAATAGGATTAATATTGAAGTGTGGTATTGAGCTATGGAGAATGCTTTGGAAATTCGTATCTATGTGTACGAAAAGTACTAAACGGAATTAATTTGGTATAACTTGGATTTGGGTGAGACAGACGGACATTTGTAGTTATCTGAAACACATTTGGTTTAAAGAAAAATTGGGTCTAAAATTTAAATTTTTGTACCATAAGGCTGAGGGTACAAATGTGCCTCATCGAAATATCAATTTTAGACAATTTTGAGTACATTGTGAAATGTCCCTCAGTTCGATTGTCTAATTTGTTGGCTGGTACGCACGACAACTCTCGAAGGGAGTAACAGATTTTATTCAAACTATGCACATCATAATATTTCTTCAAAACGTAACTTTTCATTGCAAAAAATAAATTTTGTTGTATAAAAAACGTTATAAAATAAGGCTAGGGCTTACAAAATACCGAACACGATCGGTACCCAAATTTAGGTGCTAGGACATTTTTATCCTTTGAGAAGCTGAAGTGCCAAATGGCAGAAACTTTGATTTGAATATGGGTGGAAGGAACTTCAAAATACCGAAAATGAGATGTGATATTTATACGTAACTATTTCAAATCATGGACCTGTTTTAGCATTTTTTCCAAGGACGTATTGTAGCCTCCAATAACACGAAATAGCAAATTACACCCCACTTAATTTTGAAAAAGTAAAAAAACAAATTTGGGTATATTCTAAAACTTAGACCGATATATTCCATTTCACATATATCGTATATGTCAAAGAGGAGTTGGGTTTAATATTGATCAAATAGATTTTATTCGCTTCAAATGAAATTTACAACATTATGAAATATTAGCCCTTAGTGGGGGAAGTACCAGAAGCAGTGTACCTATATAGCCTCATCTTCCAAATTGTCTGAAATGGATGTGGTCCAAAGAAACATGGGTTTATAATCAATAGTTCGATGAGGATATTCGTCGAATATTTAGATTTGTTGCAAACGATATAAAAATTATGTAAAAATGGCGTTAGGTTCTGGTGGTCCGAACTTTTTATATCCTCCACCATTAGGTCCACTTTCAAAATGCCTAAAATCGATGGAGGACCATGAGTAATTTTGACATATTAGGGATAAATTAATCGACTTTTTGTTTTGAGAAGACAAAAAATCGAAGTCGACTTTTGATCTTTGAGGAAATTGCAAAGTCCACTTTTCAAGATGGACTTTCGATCTTCTTTATAAATATCGTATCTCTATGACATATATTGTTTAATGTTCTATGAATAAAGTATTTACCCAAAAAGATTTCGGAATGCGTTTTACAACCATCTTTGTAAAGATAAAATATTCACTTTGGTTCGAAAATACGCCTAGGGCCATAAAAATATCTATACAGGAGCTGGACATTTAGGAGTACCTATACACAAAGATTGACTGATATTTATAATTTATGGTTGGAATATTTACCACCCAAATCGGAACTTAAAATATTTAATTTGGATCAACTCGGTTGGAAAATATGCTTGAAATCCTCAAAATAATGAAAATTTGGGCTACCTTTTATATGGGGAAATAATAGCCACCCACTGATTTATTATTTTTCAAATTCGTATGAAAAACCGGTCGGAAGTCCTAAAAATACGGAAAATTAGGGAGTCCGCTATTGGTTATACCAAAACCTGGACCGATTTTGAATTATGTTAGTAAATTGATTTGATATCCAATTATAATCCAAAATAAAAAATCAGAGCGAATTTGGTAGGAAAATCGTAGCCAAAATAATAGGGGATACCGTTATATGAGGGTCATCCCGAATCTATGAAATTCGAAATATAAAATTACAGCAAAACTTCTTAAACTACCCAAATTTGGGGGGTGCAGTTATATGGAACGTGGACTGATATTGATAATTTCAGACAGGTACATTGGTAACCAATGATAACCCAAATTATAAAATTAGACTGAATTCGGTAGGAAAATTGTGGCCAAAATAACCAATAATAGGGTGTACCGTTATATGAGGGTCACCCTGAAACTATGGAAATCAAAATATCAAATTACAGGCAAATTGGTTCAATAACGTGCACAAACTTCTCAATCTACCGACATTTGGGAGGTGCAGTTATGTGCAAGCTATACCAAAACGTGGACCGATATAGATAATTTCAGTTAGGTAGATTTGATAAACAAATGAGAACAAAAATTATCAAATTAGAACGAATTCGATAGAAAAATATCGAATAATAGGGGGTACCGTTATATGAGGGCCACCCTGAAATTTTGTAAATTTAGGTTAAAAAGTAGGCCTAAATTCCACAAAATAAAAATTGTATTTTAGGTAGGGTAGCTAATTCGACAGAAAATAATAGTCGAAAAAATGAATGAAAACCCAAAATATCAAATTACAGCCAATTCGTTTGAAAATCATTACATTTCCAAAGGACCCAAAATGAAAACAATGATCTTCAAAATTCCACAAATTTACCCCCACTGTGCCAAAGCGTAAGAAACTCGAATACCATATAAAGGCGACAGCCTAAAATCGGCGTACGCGGGAAAACGTAACGTTTTTATTCAATTGTTTTTGCTATGTTTTCGATGGCACCATCGCCGAACGAAAAGTAACAACAATTGACCCACCCATTGCTGCCGGTAGTGGGTGCCCACAATCAGGGCACACACTGGGCACTCGCATCGGACGGCGCAATGGTATTTCTGACGACAATTGTTGGCTTTTTAAAATGCATGTACTTATTCGAATCGAAATGAATTGTGGAGTAACAAAGTGACGAACTAGACGACAAGCCAAATAAACGAGCGAACGAACGAATGAATGAATTTGATGGCCAATGAATTTTTACACTTTTCTTTACCAAATATTGTGTTTTTGTTTTTGGGTTTTAGTTGAAAACACACAAAAACAATAATGCCGCATATTTTTGTAGAAATACTACGATTACAAAAAAAATCGACGACAACAATAGCAACTACAATAAATGGTCAATACTCACAAAAAAAAAAAAAAATCAAAACAGTTACTACAACAAATTGTGAACATAAATAATTAAAATAACAACAACAGCAACAACTAAAAAATCAAAACGCCATTTAATAAGGTGTTCGTGTGGTGGATATTCGTGTGTCTGTCTGGTCACTTTGGGCCCAAACTTATTTGCCTAGTAACGAACTAAGTTGTAAAATATCTAGCTAGGCTTACGCTAATCCATGTTATCCGAAGCCATCCCATGTGCAACCCACCTACGCCTTCATTGATTTTCTGTTCATTACCGTCGTTGTTGTTGCAGCTGTTCTTCTTCTTGCTCCGTGAAGTGGCAACGCATTTTGTCGCGTTTGCACGTCGCCGACACGTGACATCGTTGTAATAGGTTCAAGGTTTCTTTTAAATCATCATACAAAATATACAGATGAACATACATACAGACATATAGTTGTATGTAGGTATGTATGTCATAGCTTCGAACACATTTTTGTGTGTTTCTGTTATTTCGATTTACGTCAATATCCCGTGCACGACCGCACATGTTTGATGGAAGTGCAATTTTTGGGTTTTATGAATTTTTATTTTGGCTTCGAAGTTTTTTTTTTTTTGTTTTGGCCAAAAATAGTCAAAAAGGAAAAGCTATGAAAATATTAAAATTTTGTCGGTTTTGAAATGTGGTCGATGTAAATTTTTGACGGAATGGTCTTACCCAATACATTACTGCACGTTAAGGGTCAAGCTTAGCGCAGTATTTAAAAATTTAACAACAAATATTTTAATTGAAATCGATCAATTGACAGAAGCACATATCATATTTTTAAAGGGCTCCAAATCTTTATTAAAAAAAAACTGTTTTAATTGGAGTCGGGATAATGTGACGAAATTTAGATTTGAAAATATTAAATGAAGTGGTATCGGCAAACTCATTGTGGCTATAAAAGCTATAGCTATAAATAGTTTCCAATCCACTCTGGTGATATTCAGTGGACGTCATATAAAAAATAGACAAATACAATTTATACAGTGAGAATCGATCTGAATCTTAAGGAGATCCCACCCATTCTCGATTTAAAAATTCTACAAATTTCAACTGGCTGGCAAATGAGCATAAAGATTTGCATACAAGAGATGATGATATGTACAATCTCCTTTATATAGAATAGACATAGCATCTTTAGATAGCCAATGAAATGGAATCGGATGAAATGAACTGCGTGAAGTTATAGATATTCGAACTAAATTAAAACAACCCATACACATACCAATCTGAAATTTATGAACAATTGAATGTCAATCATCGAGCAAAATAAAATATAAATGGATGCATTTGATCAACCGTGGCATCCACCATTTGGTATGCTGCAACACAGTGCGCTATCCAAAATTTATCTTGACACAAAATCCAATACACGTTATTCTGGTTCTAATTGGTACGTTGTGCACTAATTCGTCCTAAGCGGACGAACTTTAGTAAATTGGTACATCATTTTGATGAAATCGGATGAAGATATATGTAGAAACTATAACTAAACCTGAAACTTCTATAATCCAATGTAAATTTCATGTAAAGCGAACAGACATAGGCTCCTTCATTTGCATAAAATCGGACAAAATTACATATATCTAAATCTGAACCGATTTCAACAAAACTTGGCATATATCAATCTTGACCTAAATCAGTACTCTGTCCAAAATTTTGTTTCAATCGAACCAATATTTGCAGTATGGGGCCTCAATTTACATAAAATCGGTCAAAACTATATATGGGAGCAATATCTAAATCTGGACCGACTTGGCATACATCAATCTAGACCTAATTCAGTATTGTGTCTAAAATTTTGTCTCAATCGGGCCAATATTGGGAGTTTTGTACACCATTAACATAAAATCGGACGAAACTATATGGGAGCTATATCTAAATCTGAACCGATTTTCTCCAAATTACAATAGGATTCGTCCTTGGGCCAAATAAGTGGGCCAAATTCATCCAAACTTTGTTCACAAAAATACATGGACGGACGGACAAATTGACATGCATAAATAGACTCAGAAAGTGATTCTATGCATATTGTGAAAAGGAACCATGGGTCTATCACGATTCTTTTTGCTGTTACAAGCATATGTACAATGATATAATACCCCGCACTACTATTGTGGGAACTAGCACTTACAGAGGAAGAATATTAATCATTTTTGGGAGGGAGATTTCTTACCATATACGACTACTACTAAAAACCAAATTACAAAGAATTCGGTTGAAAACCCAAAATTGGGCGTGCATTTTATATGGGGGCTACCCGGATAAATAAGAACTCAAAGTACTAAATTACAGAAAAAAGTGGACCTATATTTAATCATTTTTAGTGGAGAGATTTGCTAGCCAATAAGAACCCACTGTACTTTATTTCAGCGAATTCGGATAAAAACGCACTCAAGAACCCCAAGAAAGGACCTTTATCACAACCTAAAAACTACGCGACGCGCGCTGGAAATGTGGGCGCTGATATTAATGATTTTTGTTAGCTGTTTTGAACCCACTGAGAACTCAAAATATCAAGTTACAGACAATTCGGTCGAAAAAACATGGTTTCCAAAATTCACAAAACACCGTTATATGTTGAATACCCTGAAAATCGGTCCCATATTGATGATTTTACTGTGATGATTTCCTACCTAATGTCAATATTAAATTACAGCTAATTTGGTTCAAAACCCTAAGAAATGCTCCAGCTTCGGCACTTTTTGTTTAGAGTTCTCAGTTCTCAGTACTTATTCAACAGATATAAAAAACTTTGTGGGCGGCTATTGTCATCTGATACTACCTACCCGAGGTAGCTTAGGCATTTGGCTGGGCCTGGTAAATATCGTTATTATGAGTCTGGTCACAATTTAACGGTTCTATTTCTTTTAATGTGCGGCTCAATGTTTGAAGTTTAAGGCTATATTTTCTAGCGGAAGACGTTGACGTCTCAATGTTACCCTCACCCTCAGAAATATAAGATCTTCTCTTCAGAACGAAGACATTTTACAGCCTTTCTAAAAATATATTTTCTTTTAGGCCTTCTACAGATCTTTTTCCATAGCCTGCCAGTCATGCGAAAAGAGCTCC